CAGTAAGAGCCGTGCTTGCACAGGTTCTGCGCGATCATCTTCACTAATATCCTCTGCGTCTCAATCGGGCTCAAATTGATAAGCGAGGTAAATTATGTGAAAAATAATGCTTTTTTTTTTTTTTTTTGAAATGAAGCATTAAAACGTTAGACTGCACCCCATAAACACAATCAAGCCTAGAAAAAAAATAGTCAACCCCCCCCCCTTTAATATCAGCAAATATGCCACATCATGTGTTTTGTTTTATTATTAAATTCACCTGCAAGCAAAGTGAAATAATTTTTGAATTACATGTTGTTGATTTCTAATGCTTATGAGTGTTTGTATAGTGATTCTCTGAACAAGAGGGGATAAATTCCTTCATCTTTGTATATCATATTATAGGCATTACTTGGTTAAAAAGAACACATCATTTTTTAACCACATGTAAAATTTCAACTTTGAAGCTGTTTTGATCACAGACGGTAAATGTAAATTTGCCAGGTCAAACTGTGGGGCCATGACCATGTGAGCCGAGGAAGACAAGACCATTCACAATTCATCATGCAGATAGATTGGTATGTAAGTCAATGGGTAAATTTCATCTTTAATTAAAAAAACATTTTGGATTTTTTTTAAAAGCTACTTTTAAAAGGGATTTTACAGGGTTACCTTCGCTGTACCAAATGTTGTGGGTGTATATTGGAGAGCAACTGATATTCCAAAAGTTCCTGGTTACTGTTTTACACTTAAGCAAACTCATATTTCTTGAAAAGAACTGTCTGTAATTAGTGTATAGACACTCTAAATAAAAAGCACATACTAAGAAATAAAGTATGAAGAAGTGAAGAAACGATGCAGACTGGCCCCCTAAAATTATTTGGATTAACTCGTCACGCTTGAGATTTTTTGAAAACTATTGTTTTGCAGTGACTTTGAACCAGATATCAAGCTATCAAAGTGACTTTTAATGAAGTTACAGGTATGATGTCAGTTGCCCTCAAGTTTATTTGATACCTACCATTAACTACCAGAAAATGTCACACTACTTTTTCTTGTTTTTGAATACAAATATGTATTTTGTCATTTGTGCCAAACACTTTGTAAATTCTTAGCTTGTAAAGTATGATTATGCTACTGTATATTTCTTTAAATACTTCTCATATTTTCATAATGCAGTTTATTGTAGGCTCAAACAAAACCTTTTCAAGTGGCCCCTAACCAAAACTTGCTTCAGTACCTCCTAGGGTGAACATTTTGAAATCATGGGTGCGATGATTTTAATATAAATTCCTGTAGCACACGTAAAGCGACATGTTTAAACACGGGAACTGAATGACACCATTGAAACACATGCTAAAAAAGCAGGAAAAAGGATATGGATGTTATTCGGTGCTCTTTTTAATTTGTATTTTAACCTAACAGTTTTTTTTTTTTGCCTCTTTTTTTTTCAAAACTTTACACACAAATCCAAGAATTGCACACACAAAATGCTTCACATCTCTTGCAAAATGAAGCACTGCATTTAAAATACCAGAAACACATCTCAAAATAATATTATATTTTGTAAACACATCATATACAGTTATTCAAAACCTAAAGCTCATGTACATTTCTGTACATGATTGAAAGTAATTGGCAGAGAGATGTTGAAAAATTCACGGTAAACACAACAGCAAGATTGAAACCAAACTGTAAGCATTTGTGGTTGTGAATACAGTATTGCACAGTACAAAAGAAAAGAAATACATCAACCAAGTATAGTTGTGTAGATGTGTATTTATAGGCCTGTTCTAAAGCCATGATTGGTTGGTGTTCAGTGAAGCACATGTGAGACGCTGATGAATTAGTGTGCCATTTTGATTGGTTGTGTTAAAAAAAAAAAAGGAAATCAAGATACTTCCTGGTAGATTTTTGTGTGTTACATAGAGAATTGTGTGTTGTCTCGCAAAAAAGTGTTTTATGAAATTGAAAACTTAAAAAATTGAAATGTTAAAGGCTGAGAATTAGCATATGGTTTTGCAGATTTGGTGTGTGCTTCTGGTGTTTGAGTGTCAGGTTTCAGAAATTGTGTGACAAGTAACGTTTTTTTTGTGTAAGCAGCTGGAAAAAAAAAACCCTGTAAGATTAGAGCTCAGGAAAAAATACTTTTCAATGTCAGCAAGTACTGCTGTACATTCCTCCTACAGCATATTCACAAGATCAAATTTAAAATGCATCTGCTTTAATGTAATTTAATTACAAACATTCAATACAATACATAATTATACAATAAATAAATCATCATTCTCATTAAAGGCATTAATATGGTCTCAGACAAGCAACTTTTACAGATCCCCGCTCTTCTTCTGTGTGGGGTCTAAATTTGTGCCTTCATAAATTACTTTATTTTTTATGCCATCCTGAATCATTCTCTGCTGAACACGCAGCTTGGCATTATTATATCTGCAGTAAAACCTGTATAAAAAAGCATGAGATAATATGTCAGATAATCATAAAATCTGTCAAGAACATTTATTGCATTTTTTATCATTTTTAAATGATTTCCATGACAATTAATCATAATTTCCCCCATTCTATTATTAATAAATCATGGTAGTATTTGTTGTGCTGTGTTTTATTTACACTGATTTAAAAAAAGATATATTATACTTCATACTGTAAATTAAAAAACTCTTCTGTTAAACTACAGTATTGAGAATATAATTATAATGACAGCAGCAGCATGTGAGCGCATGTCACACTGTTATTGAAGCACATACCATGAGCCCAGTGTTGTAAGCATGAATCCTGCGACACCCACATCAAACGACCTCTTTACTCTACCTGTGAATGACAAGATGACAGCGGAAAAAACTCTTACACTAAAGAAATATGTGACATATGATCATACAAGTCGTCAGTTCAATCACTCACTTACTTGTTGCCAAAAAGTGCACTAATCCTGCCACCAGTGAACCACCTGCACCATGTAGAATAGATTCTCGAGCACAAGGCGTATTCTGGATATCATGGATACCCATGACCTTCATGCCCTGTGCGTGTTAAGATGGAATTAATGTCTGAACTTGTTCATTCATTTGAATAAAAAGTTCACCGATTACAAAACCTGTAATGTGTATCATTATCACTTACTAACTACACTGATTTAAATCTACACTGGTTCATTGAATAAATGTACATAACATTAACATGACATCCTGAAATGAAATCAGTACTTACACTTAACAGCATGATCATGCGAATATCTGCAGTAACAATAATGGAGCTTATAACCATTATAACGAAGTACTGTGGCAGTACCATGTTACGGTGTTAGATTACAAAAATTAACCATGGTTTTATAATAGTAAAATTGTAGTAACCATAGTTTTTTGGCGTATTGACTACCATTTGTATAACCACAGTTTTACTACAAATACCATGGTTTAACTATGGTTAGTGTTGCAAAACCATAGTTAATTTGTGGTCACCATGGTTTAACTATAGTAACCGTGTTTTTTTTGTAGTAAAACCATGGTTAATTTTCGTAAGGGTAATACCATGGTACGATGTGAAACATGGTAATACCATAGTACATTTTTTTTGCTATAAATCAGATGAAAACAACTATAATAATGTAACATGATCTCTCTTAATGTCTTGTATCCATTAGGTAACAATAATTGTGGACAGCGCATTACACGACCTTCTCTTATGAACTTTACCCCAGCGTAATATCTGACTAAACTTCTTGAATAAAATAACACCCACCTGGCTCTTACCGTCCTCCTCGGTCATTTTCGAGATTACTTTTCAACACACTCATGCAAACAAGTTTGTTCGTTATGAAATGTTAACCCTATACGTTCTTTGGTGCGCCGATATATTCTTCCTGGCGGCACACATTAGCGGATGATTGTTGGTTCCGGGACCCAGAAGTGTAACGTTAGCAGCTAAATCGGCAAAAATAAAATAGGCCTGCTAGTGTTAAAATTAGATCAGTTTACGCACTTTTGGCATATGTCATGGCACTAAATTAATATGGTCAAAGTTTTTGATAGGTTTAGCTTTTAGGTTTTGATTCTGGGTAAATGCATGCTTCATCTGTTTTAAATGTTGTCAAGAGTCAGTTTATAGCAGTGTTATTTAGTGGATTAGTATTATAGTGAACTAAAACTGAAACTAAGACGAAATAAATAAATAAACGTTAACTGATATAATAATAATAATAATTATTAATATTATTATTATTGTTAATTATTATTACTATTACTACTATTATTATTATTGGTAGTAGTAGTAGTAGTATACTATATTTCAGCTAGTTGCCAAGGCAACAATTGTCATTTTAAGGTTAACTTAATGTACTAAAATAACTACAACTAAAACTGAAATAAAATTATATATAATATATGTGTGTGTGTGTGTGTGTGTGTGTATGCATATATATATATAGAGAGAGAGAGAGAGAGAGAGAGAAATTACAAATATTATAAACTATATATTTACACTATAATAGTATCTCAATGATAGTAAAATGACACTGTTTTATAGGAGTCATACCTTGAGGAGTTTTTTCCTAATCATTGGAGATAATACTACAGTACCGAGAGAACACAATATCACCTTGATAAAAACTGCTATATGATGCTAAACAAAGTAGTGTTTCGGTGATCACTGCCTTGCAAACACTAATGAACTCACTCGCAGTGAAACCTGAGAGCGTTAGACCTTGGTTATTTCCTGACGCTGTACATGGAGTCTAATTTGATTTCATGCAGATGATTTTAGATCAGATAATCTACTGTATATAATATATGTGCACTGAATGAACAGCAGGTGTCTTTTATCTGTTCATTCTGACCTGATGAATGTAGAGAGTTGTTACGTGAGAATGGAAACACATAATCCTCTTGAGATCAGTGTGATTAATTTAAGGTCAGATTTTAGTTTAATTGTTGGTTTCACTGCACTATATAAATCTACTCAGATGCCGTGTGACTGAACACATAGAGCCACTTTTAACAGCCTGCTGAGCAATGGGGACACCCGTCAAGTAAGTCTAATACATATTTAATGCAGTAATATTGTTCACAGTTTTTTTGTTTTTTTTTGCTTTTGCTTTTTACTGTTTCAACGGGGCTTCACAGTAAATTAAATTGCTCTCCTTTCTTTCCATCTACAGGATTTTAGTTGTTCGAAACCACATCCTCCTTCTCTTATTCTCTGTAGTTGTCCTACTAGCTGCTAAACGCTCTTTTCTTCCACCCTGTGAGCCAGTTAATGAGACTGTAGCTGTGGAAAAGGAGGGCTGTCCAAAATGTCTGGTGTTTCAGACCACCATCTGCAGTGGCCACTGCCTGACAAAGGTGCTTACTTTCTTTTTTTTTTTTACTTGTTAATTTGCATGGAAACATTTTTCAGCAACATTCATTTGAATTCATATTAATATACAACAAAAATCATTATTTCCAGTGGTGGTGACAGTGTATTATCTTGCATTTCTAGGAGCCTGTATACAAGAGCCCATTTTCCACTGTCTACCAACACGTGTGCACTTACCGGGACGTGCGCTACGAGACCGTCCGCTTGCCAGACTGTCCTCCAGGGGTGGACCCACATATCACCTACCCTGTGGCTCTCAGCTGCGACTGCAGCCTGTGCACCATGGACACATCCGACTGCACGATTGAAAGCCTGCAGCCTGACTTTTGCATGTCTCAGAGAGAGGATTTCCTTGTTTACTAGCCCCTTTTGGCCCCAAGACTACTATCCTGTGTTTAGCACATCAAATCAAAGTGTACACCAGCTGATAAACTCTCACTCTAAATCAGATAAATGTTGTGTAGATGTATATCAATAAAAAGGACATACTTCTTAAATTCATTTTCTACACTAAAGCCGAACACATTTTATTCTAGGTGATGTAAAAGGGCAGTTGGCGTGGATATTGAGCTGAAGATAAATGTTGTAAGTGATCATTAGAAAATCATAAGCCAGTGACCAGAAAGAAAACCGACAAGAGTTGAATTGATACAAATGTACAGATGCCAAATGAAAATCAACTGAACTCTGCATATTCAGAGAAGCTTGTTAATTAAATTGCAAAACTTTGATTATGGTTTTCATCCATCACCATGATGAATTCAAATAACACTGCGCCACTTTTTGAAATATAAAATAAAACACAAAATAAATCAAATAAAAACATACAAATGAAAGGCTTATGCATTCTGCAGGCAAACGTTATTGTTCTCTTTTGAAGGTCATTCAGAGGAGAACATGCGTTCTGACTTAATAAAATATTTTGCAAGCAACTTAATACTGTATGACACCAATATCATTATAGTAATGTAATGTAAATGAATCAAACATTAGATCTTGTAGTGATTTTTCAAAGCTCAAAGTATAAGATGAAGCATGAAAGACTTGTGGACTGCTGCAATTATGTTTTCTAGCCAGAAGATGGCAGGAAAGATCAATACTGAGAATATACAGTAAGTAGAAAAATTTGCCAAAACACACTGATTATGCTGTTACTTAGATAGTTAATAGGTTTACCTTGAGGAAATATTATGCTCTTCCATAAAATCGTAATACAGTAATGATGTTAATTTCATAATGATGGCATGACAGCACGTTAAAGCTATGGAAGCATTTTTCCATGAGCAGTGACAATGGCTCAGTTTCAAAACATACTGAGCTTTCTTCTAAGGAGTGACTGATTTGGATCTCTTATGTACAAATAGTGCTCCTCATGTGCAGCACATGAGAGAAGAGTGTTTGGTGTTAGTGTGTTGCTAAGCTAACATGATATGAAATATAAAAACAGCACACACAATACAAGTAAAATGAAAATAGGTTGAATAGCAAGTATTAAATTAAACTGAACAATTGTTATTGATAAACTTGACTCTGTGTTAGACGTTGGATATAAGAAAGCGTCTTTTTGCCTCCGAGGTTTTAGGATAGAGCTTGCAGCCAGAATGTTTCTGAAAATGCTTTTCTATGATTAATAGGAATTACTCTGCACTGCTGTTATGCAGCTGGCAGGCCTGTCAGACTTTCATAGGTAGCTGTGGTTTACATATATAAGAATGAAAAGAACTGCAGCGTGCTTGCACATGCTTGCACAAAACAATATCCCAAGAGCCAATACCATCTTTGAATTTCTCTGAAGCGTTAACTTTTACTTCAATATCCACATACAAGCCTGCTGCTTCCCGGAGTCATAAATAATTTCTAAACTTGATTTAAAGGAGTTCAGCATCTTCATGTCATTTGATCCCTGTATTATTTACAGTATTTTTTGAATCTCAAAATGAGACGTCAGAATGTCTGTGCTCAGAAAAACAAGGAAAGTGCATCACATTAGATGCCAAATGTGACTCTGGACCACAAAACCAGTCATAAGGGTCAATTCTACGAAATTGAGATTTATACATCACCTGGAAGCTGAATAAATAAGCTTTCCAATGATGTATGGTTTGTTAGGATAGGACAATATTTGACCAAGATACAACTATTTGAAAATCTGGAATCTGAGGGTGCAAAAAAAATCAAAATATTGAGAAAATCGCCTTTAAAGTTGTCCAAATGAAGTTCTTAGCAATGCATATTACTAATCAAAAATTAAGTTTTGATATATTTACAGTAGGAAATTTACAAAATGGCTTCATGGAACATGATCTTTACTTAATGTCCTAATGATTTTTGGCATAAAATAAAAATCTATAATTTTGACCCATACAATGTATTTTTGGCTATTGCTACAAATTTACCCCAGCGACTTAAGACTGCTTTTGTGCTCCAGGGTCACAAATGTCAAATGTGCCCACCAGATTTGATGTCACTAAAGCCAAACCCCATGTTACTTGTGTGTCACGTGACTGATTGAGTTGTGATGCGTTTAACAAACATGGCCACAGATGAGATCTGAGCACTGTGGCGCAATGAAGTTATCAGTGAATAAAAACTCAAACAAGAGGCTGTTTCACGCACAAAGTGACTTCAGAAGATGTAGCAATGATAATTTTTTACCTTTAGTTTGGCAAAATAAATAACTTCCCTTGTATGAATAACAGAAGCTTATGACCTGCATGTTTACCTACACATTTTTTTGTGTGATAACTATATTGTTGGTTAAACAATATTATAAAGTACAACTTTTGGTAACACTTTATAATAACGGCATGCTGTGAATCATTAGTTAAGCATTACTAAATAGTCAGTTCATCCTTTATAAAGCATTGTCCCAACGTTAATAGGCATTAGTAAGCAGTTTATAAATACAGCTATACCCTCGTTATACAGCCTTGTTCTCGATTTATAAGCATGTCTATTACAAAGGAGATTTAAAGGCTCAGTTATTTTCCAAACAGAAAAATTAAGCAAACATAACACAGATGAGGGATACAGAACTCAGAAAAATGATACAGATGCAAAAAAATGAAACTGCACAACTGTACACTTGAATTTTTTTATTATTATTTTTTTCTATGACATTGCAGAGGTTTATTTTTCATTTTTTTTATCAAGTGTAAATGCTTTACAAGGCATAAATAGTCCTCACTTTAGAGGAGCTCACAAAAATAGACGACTGACAACTACTAAATGTTTTATAACTACCTGACTTAACTTAGCATTTATTAACACACTTAGCAACTATTATCATATGTCTAAACAATGAGATTTATAAATGTACATTTAAATAGTTTTTTAACCATTTACTTACACTTTTTAAATGATCTTATGAACCACTGACAACTCCTAAAGAACTGGTTTGTAAATAACATAATACTTAATTTAGAAATGATAAACTGATCGTTAATAAGCTATGAAAATACAATTATTAAACATTATACATATGCTTATAAATGTATCTATAAACCGCTTACTAATGCCTATTAATGTTTGGGACAATGCTTTATAAAAGATGAATTGACTATTTACTAATGCTTAACTAATGATTCATAGCGTGCAGTTATTAAAAAGTGTTACTCAACTTTTATACAGTTGCTTGCCATTCTTGAACACTCTCTGTAGAGAAAGTGTCTGTTTTGAGGGTTCTCTAGCACATGGGACATCCTTTGTGGATGGCTTCAAATGGGAGGCTATTTCTAGGACTCTAAGTAAAGACAGTGAATGAATCCATCTGCAGATACAGCGTGGGTGAAAGCGAGCTAATCTGAGGTGAGTAGGTGTCTGAGCTGGAGGAGGGATGTTCAGGAACTAACGCTTCAAGCAAGTGTGAATATTTTATATTTCACATAGATAGCTTTTTAACTGAGAATATCCAGACAGCAGAATGTGCCATAAGTGCACGGCCTATATATAAAATTCATGAAAGATATAACAGATATTATGGCTGCTACAATCAACATTATATTAGAAATGCAAACAAGGCTTAGCCTTTCCAAAGGCAAATCCATTCTTTACAGTACTTTTTTGGGCATCTGCGTCTGAACAAGGATTTATTTGGATGTTGTTGAAAGCAAACAATTTAAAAATGGAAAGTGTCAACTTCAATGGAAAGTGTTTCCTCATTGGCAACATGTCATTAAACCATCTTAAAGTATTAAGAATAATATTGTTTTAATGAGTCATTTTCATCTTTGTACCATAGCTAAATTGTAGCTATCCTCTAAAGTGTGTTTTTTATTACACTTTAATTTGCTTTGCACCAAGTGTGGAATCATTTCTTATTAGTGAGGCTCTAAAAACCAGGTAGATAATGAGAGATTCCACATTCAATTTTAAAGGTGACAGAAAATGGGCCCAGGAGAGTGAAATGTGAGAATCTGGGGACAGTGGAACTGACATTAGCCTTCACCAATTAAACATGAGGATACAAAATTATGCATGAACCTGATAAACGATCACATTCTAACATGTATTTTGCCACCACTGAAACTCTTTTGATGGAATCTTTGCAATAAAATGTCCCTGAGAAGTTCTTTGTCTTTTGTGGTGAAGCAGGGAGGCAGGCAGTCTGTTTTAACATCGCATAAAATATTCATGAGGTTGTATGAAGTGGGAACAAAGCTGTGCTGTTGCCTGCAGGTTTAGTTCTCAGATCTGCTGGGCTTCTCCATCATTGTCTCCATGCTGTAGTTCCTGTACTTTCTTCTTTCACTAATAGGAAACATGAAGAAATGCACAGGGATGTGTGCTCTCCGCCTGCATCTGTTACAGTGCTCTATGGCCATTAGCAGCAACAGAAAACAGCAAGCAAGACTGATTTAAAAATGGTGTTAATATGGGATTTTTGGTTGCAATAAATAAGGCAGTGAAATAGATCCACGCCTCCACTTCTTTCTCTACACCCAGCAACCGTCACAGCGCAATTAAAAGTGCTTTACAAAAATAATACCTTATACAGGACAAGTTGTTATTACACAGTAATTATGTTAATGCAACTTAACGTGAATCCTATAGGAAAGTAAGACCTATTGGGAGTTGCACTTTATTTTAAGGTGCCCTTGTTACAGTTAAGTACAGAGTAATACTAATTAGCATCATTTAGGTTACTAACCAGAGGTTTAGCCAATGGCCAGGCCTGATAGGCATATGCCCCCCACTATGATGAATAGGTTTTGGATAATGACTGGTGAGCTTGATTGACATCTGTGTTAGGCAATTAGCAAGGCTGTCCCAGACATTTCGCACGCTTTGAGTTGGTGTGTGTTCACCCATCCAGTTGTATTTTGGCAACTGTGTATTAGAAAATCAGCCATTTGAGCAGAAAGTGATGTTAAGCAAAATTCTATAAAATACTACTTTAAAAAATTTGCATTAACTCAGTTAACACAGTTCA